CTCATGGTACGTCAACTATTTTTATTAGTAACTCAAAAAGTAAGCGTCAGACAAAATTTTGCCAAATAAAAAGTTGTCTTAGAATTTAGTCAAGAATATGTATTTTCAAAGATAACGGGTTGTTCTGAATCACCCTGTATACATTTAGATATGTACGAGTATAATTATTTATATGAAATTTTAACTTACGTTTACATACTTACTTGTAATTGTATAGAGTGGTAACCTTTTCGATTAATATAACTTTCACTATCCTTTTTTGGTTTACTAATTGGTATATGTGTGCCATCAATAGCACCTACAACTTTTGGGAATTTGTAATTATTTTCAATATTTATCCATGTATATTCAGCCTCTTCTCGATTAGGCCATTTAATAATTTGAGGTGCCAGAGAATAAATTGCTCGACACACTCTTCTCACTGCATACCATGCCGTTGCTCGTGCAACATTAAATCGATCACAAACAAATCTATTACAATTTGTTAATATAACAAAGAATAAACACAATATATTAAGAAATATTTTAAGTACTTAAATATTAAGTACTTAAATATAAGAAAACAATTAATGACTTATAAGTGCAATATACTTATAATAATAGATACTTATAATAAGATATATAGAATTTAAATATAAATGTAAAACCAAATCTTATTAAAAATATTAATAACTAATTAAGCATTGAATTTCATTCAATGCAATATATATTATCTGGTAGGATTATTGTTTTTATATGTATATCATTACCTGTATGAGTCTGATGTTGCTATTGTCCATAATGCAATTAATAATTGTTTTTCAGCGCTGATTGTATGGCGACCGATCTTTTTGATTTTCTCCTTAATTTACATTCAATTAACGTCAATAAGGATGTAAATACTTCACGTAACATTCTGCAAAAAAAGATTGCTCTTGTAACAAATTATATTCACTTTTTCAACGACGTATAACGTACTTACGAACAAATCTATATTATTTCCAATTTACATATCCTTACCGAAAATGGGTTCTGAAATCTGCATTTGAATATTCTGGTACAACATNATTAATATAATTTCTAATGCGCACTTTCGGAAATGATAAAGATAACAATTCTTNTTCTTCTTCCGAACTACTACTACTTGTTTCATCTATAATTTCTATTATAGCTGTACATATTGCTACAATAGTTTTTTTGTCCATGATTTGGTTAATAACGTACTTGCAAGTAATCTTTTTTGTACTGTCACGTGAGTGTACTGTAACACCGTTCGTTTATACACCCTGACATTTGCACTGGCAGCATTGAAGTAATTTCGGAACGGCTACGGCAGTGCACTGTTNTTACGTCACTTTGGCAGTACTGCTAGTAAAAAACGAACGCAGCCTTGGTAGCATGCGGTAGCAGCGGTAGCATGAAGNNAATGCGCACACAACCTCAAATCGTGTACGTGTGCGCTCGAGACTTCGGGCGCAATCGGACAGTAAAAAGAGACAGAGAAATTACTTTCTGTCTCGCTCTCGCTCGGGCGAGTTGGCGATACGACGTTCAAATCTCAATAACGTCGTAAGCGGCATAAGAAATGTCCAAATTCTTTGGCTTGGTCTGTGATTTTTCTTTATTAATTAAAAATTGTATTTATATGTATGTATACATAAAATTTATATGTACAAAAAACTGCGTACAAATAAGATAATAAATTTACTACTCTTGACTAATATGTACGTTTACGCTTGATTAAATGTAATTGCAAATCTCACTGCATATCATTTTTTTTTTTTCTATTGTGACGTTTTTCTCTGGTCTTACGAAATTCCCGCGTCGTCCCGTCCAAAACGGAAGTCCAAAATCGGGACACGGACGGAAGTCCGCGAGATAGGAAACGTCTAAATCGGCAGGAAAGAAAAGGGTGTAAACTGAGCACACCACTGCGCCAAGCCGACNGATCCTTGGGTGTAGTTTTGGGCGCCAGACGCGTACTTGTGTCAAAATGTGCGTCGCTCAACACAATGGGCTGACTAGCTTTATTTAAAACAGAGAGGGGGTGGGTCTGATGATAAATAAACAAGNCTGTCCCGAACAAATCTCGGATTAGGATCGCAATCAACCACACGGCGGATAGAGATAAAAAAATAAACAATTTATTATAACACCGCGTAAGGTGAGACGACTTTGCGAAGATAACAAAAAAATTACAAAATAAAGTTCACCGATATGATACAGCGAGATTGCTGTGTCGCGGTGGTAGTGATTACAAAAGAAAAGAAAGTAAAAGAAAATAGAAAATAGAAAAGTACAGGGACGATTAACAAGACACTTTCAACAGAAACGTGATCTATCGCAGAACCAATTAAGTATATCAACTCGCGATATCGAGGACGCCACGTCGTCGCGCTGACTTCACATACGCTTATACGTTACTAGGCGGTATGCTAGGCAAAGAAACAAGCGTGTTAATCAAAGCCTTCCTGAAGCTGAAAGCGGCGGAATCGATTAATCTAGCTAACTCGTGCGCTTACCACTAGACGNGCCGCCAGGCGTAATCTCTACTCCGCGGGACTTACTTGATTTCGCAGGAGCTGGTCAGGCTTACGCCATACACGGCGCAAAGCTTTCGCCGGATTCCCGTCCCCGGTCACAGTGTACTTAAGCAATCAAATATAACGCAGCATGCACGTGCCAAGGAGCACACCTGAGCAAAGCGCTCGCGAAGTCGAAAAAGCTTGTTCCCCGGAACGAGAGCTAGGCGCTCCTTGATCCGAGAAATCCCCTAGTACGGTACGATAGATCTCTTTGATTCGATACGATAACGGTACGAAATTCTCTTGTTATAGCTCTTCCGAATCGCTCACCCCTCGCTTTTGGCAGATCATTCGGGAAATCCAAAATGCCGTGGAAAATGTAAGAGCGGTACGATAGAATAGCGTGAAAGATTAATACAGCAGCAGGTGAAAAATAAGCAGTACTTAGTATGCAGAATGCGACACGTTACGATAGCGTTAATTTCAGAAAACAATACTCGATACGGTATTCGATACGATGATCGGTACGATACCCGGTACAGAGTATGGCGGTCGCGAAACGATACACTAGACAAACACTAGTACACGCGAAACACAACAAAAGAACGAAAATTGCTGCTTGGCGCTTTACTGGTACTCCTTGTACTACTCAATAGAGTAGTTACGCGACACGCACTTAGGCCTACGAATTAATACCACGAAGCCCCGTGGAATCCGATTCTAGCCGCTGCCGAAAACTCTAAACTATGGCGAAGGTTATGTCCTTGCCGGCACCAAAACGCGAAATTCAGCGACTAGCCTCGACACGAGACTCGAATCCGTAACGCGGATTCGTGGCTCACAAATTAACGAGAACACCTCACCGTACGTCGTCGTCCTTCTCCATTCAACTGAATAGCCCAAAACTTCGTTAACAATCGATCGTCGGGAATGCCGTTAGTGCGTCCGTCCTGTTTGGTAGGTAGCGACCAATAGAGCAAGGATCGAGATCGATTCGGGGTCGATGCGTTTGAGCGCGCTAGGATCGCGTAGGGTAGATCGCGGCGACCAATCAGGTCACGAGGGGCGCCACATGTGACGCGATGCTCGCGCTCGGCGGCAGGACTCGCGGCCGCGAAAATCAAAGCGAGTACCGGGNCCTTACTANCGAAAATGTAAGCAGCGAAGATTTCCAAGCGCTGAATTCCGCAAATGCAATAGAGATGCAGCATGCAGTAGCGCAGCAGGGTAGTGGGTGCAAGTTAGCAGCGGAGGTGTGCAGCAGGCTTTTCCGATGTGAACCGAAGGTCAAAGCTATCTCCATCGTCGGGTGTTCGCCTCGCTTTCTCGGCTTCCCAGCGCCAAGGTTCGCTGTCCTTCTCGCTGTCATTTCTCTCGCCGCTTATTCCCGGAGACTCACCCCTCTGGTCGTCGTGCGAGTGCCTAGCCGCGACTCCACGCACACCCTTCTCTCTCGTTTTCTCTCGCCTTTATCCACAATCGACGGCTCCTGATATCTCCTCCAGTAGTGTGTTCTTGGTGTGGTGAGGCGCCAAGAGCATACAAAAAAAAATAATACGAATAAGCAACTAAATCTAACGCACGCAAGCAAGCCCTGGAGGATCTTGGCGCTTCCCAGACGGCTCGCACCCCTGGACTCCCGCAATCCTTAGAGCTTTTTGTGGCGAGGGAGGAGCGACGCGATGACCACGTTACAATACACGTACACGTATTTATATTTTCGCAATTGCAAACAAGATGCGATTCATGTAACGTGAAATGCTGAGAATAGCGTTAAGAAGTAGCAGACAATGAATACAGCAATTCATTGTCGAATATCATAAAGTACGTATAATGAGATGCGAATAATTAAAATTCAATAGTTGTTCTTATTATTTGGGTTTTTAAACACTGTGAAAACAATAATATGACCATGGATATATGTTGTTAATATATAGACTATCGACACATTAAATACACATTAATCGGCATATGTGCTTTTATTTTTAAAGGTTACCGTTACTACATTTGTTGTCAAATGTTTTCATTCTCGATATTAATACGACTATAGAATTGGCGAATTTGAAAACTAATTTTAGTGAAGCTTGTCTCTACACAGCATACTGAAAGCATACTGAATGATTAAAGACGTTGTACTTGTTGTTAGCGAATTTCTACATTTTTCAAGATCAAAAGTAAAATACATTGTATATACAAATGTTTGTTAGTTAGGTGTATGAGCGTTTCAGCATAAATGTTTATGCAATATGTACTCTTCAAAAAGAAACTATATCAAACATTTCTATCTTTTCTTATGGTTTAGTAACATTTTTTTGATCGGTCAATCAGTGAAACCAAGAAAAATCAATCACCTCACTACAAAAAAGTAGATCGAAAGCAAACTAACTAATCTTTTTCTGAAATACCAACAACATGTGTATCAAATAATATGAACTCTTACATTTTATGCTGTAATGAAAAAGCAAGTTTTTTCGCATAAACTGAAGGCATGAGATATAAACAGTAACCATATTATTAGTAAATTTTTGTTTAATTACATTACTTATTAAAATTCGGTATTAATTTGTATCTTATATTTTCCTTTATATTATATCGAGTTATCGCATATAACAAGATATCTAAAATTGACTTTTTTGTTCTAGGTTAGGATAAGTTTTTTTTTCTCATACATATCCTACTTGTAAATGGACATGTGTTAAGGATATGTACTTGCAGAAAATGGCAGTGTAGTTCTACTGATTTTCGGCAAAGGATGCTAATCAAAGTACTGCAAAATACAAATCCACTTTGTTAGTAGAATTTTTGCTATAAACTTCTCTACAGTTTTTCAAGTGCAATCTGCTTTTTCTGTACTTTAAATTATTATTAACTTTTTTACAAATGTCTCGTATTGCTTAAAAATGCATCAGTTTTATACTATTCATTATCGAAATAAGAAAAAGGTAATATTATATTTATTATACTTTTTGTAACAACTTAAACTGTAGTTTTATAACAATATATGTAAAAAAGCGTTTTTTCTTATATGTATTAAATATTCTATATTTTAAGTGTAAGACGTAGTGTATTATATAAACCTATGTGGTTGAAAGTAATAGAATTAGTTTTCTCAGTGAAAGCTAACTTGAAACTTTCTCTAACTCCTTGTGTATGAGCGATTAAGAAGTAGTTGTTGTTTAAAAGTTTTGGAAAAATATTTTTCTACAAATAGCATTCAAGGCTACTGATATTAGAAAATTCATTGGGTATATTTTATAATGTATGATATACTGCTTAAAACTAAGTAAAACAGATTGAATTAACAGATAAGAAAACAGATTTTTTTACAGGCACTTTTAAATGTAACTAGACACACGTAAAATCGAAAACTATTTCGAATATAATTTTATCCGTGACTTTTTCATACTACTAGCATCTTATTTTGTTCGAGCAATGAGACAAATGTATAATATTTGGGATTCTACATTCAGGTAATAATACTAATATAATAAACTACTGCTGTTTTAATTTATATTGAGAACCGTTGTTGTCTAGAGCGTTAACAGTTAATGAGCATATTTGTTCTGTTACAATAATAGAATAGAACGTTTTCGACAGTGTATTGAAGCAAAAATTGGATAGATCTTGTCAAAATGCACGAATTTATTTAGCTATATAATAAATATTTTCTGTTAGGTTGT